TTTTTTTTTTTTTTTTTTTTTTTTTTTTTTTTTTTTTTTTTTTTTTGGTGTTGTTGTTATTTCTTTCAAGATGGGGTTCCTATGTGTAGACTTAGCTGTCCTAGAACAAACTCTGTAGACCAGGCTGGCCTCAAACTCACAGATCCACCTGCCTCTTCCTCCAGAGTATGCACCACCACCACCACTGCCACCGGGCCAAATTTGAGCTCTTCAGGGCCTCATAGGAAATCATCGGTGTTGTTTTTTTTGTAGTGCTTCTCAACTCCTGGAGTTAGTGATTCCCTTCAGGAACCTGAACCCCAGCCTCACCATGCTAGCCCGGCATGCTAACACTAAGCCACATCCCCAGTCCCCTGAGTCATCCCAGCTTCCCCATTCCCTAGAGGGCTCCTGCAGGAGTTCTAGGGGTTAGCCTGGGCTTCTGCATTACTGACAGACTCCAAGACAACAACGTTACTGTAGGTCTGTAAGCTACACTTTGAACAGGAAGGCCAGTCTAGTGACAACATGGCCTTTCCCTCTCTGCCCCAATTGTCATCATGACTGCCAAAGCAGGTTGGAGCCAGACCCTGCAAAGCTTGGATGGCAGCCTACAGAGTTTGGTGTTTATTCTGGAGACACTAGGGAACTATGGAAGCTCTCTGGGTACGACCAGAAATCTCTGACCAAGGGCATGAACCTGGGAATATGGGTGCCGAGTGTGCAGGGGCCGAGGTTCTGCAGAAAAAGGAGAGGAAGAAGGCCTGAAGCCCAGGGAGGAGCTGTAAGAAGAGAGGAGGGAGGTCATGGGTTAACCTGACACACTCTGCATTTATACCGTGGGCACTAACCCCTGACGTCTTCAAATGGATTGCATTTGGAGACAGGGCCTTTAAGGAGGTAATTAAGTTGAAATGGGTCAGTAGGCCAGTCACTAATCCACTATGACTGATGTCCTTAAGAAGAGGAAATTAGCCGGGCGGTGGTGGCGCACACCTTTAGTCCTAGCACTTGGTAGGCAGAGGCAGGCAGGTTTCTGAGTTCGAGGCCAGCCTGGTCTACAGAGTGAGTTCCAGGACAGCCAGGGCTACACAGAGAAACCCTGTCTTGAAAAACCAAGGGGAAAAAAAAAGAGGAAATTAGCCGGGCAGTGGTGGCTCATGCCTTTAATCCCAGCACTTGGGAGGCAGAGGCAGGCAGATTTCTGAGTTCGAGACCAGCCTGGTCTACAGAGTGAGTTCTTAGTGCTACACAGAGAAACCCTGGCTCAGGAGAAAAAAAGAAGAAGAAGAAGAAGAGGAGGAGGAGGAAGAGGAGGAGGAGGAGGAGGAGGAGGAGGAGGAGGAGGAGGAGGAGGAAATTAGAGCACACACACAGAGGAAAAGCATGTGGAGACACAGAAAGAGAAGCCACCCGGACACCAGACGGGAGGCTTCCAGAAGCCACCACTGAATGAGCGCCTTGATCTTGGACTTCTCCCCTCAAGGACTGTGAAAAATTATCTTTCTGCTGTTTAAAGTCTCTCAGCCTGTGGGGTTTGGTTACAACAACCCCAGTGAACGCTGCACAGATTCAGAGTGGATGATTTAAGAGGATTGTTCAGGTTGTTACTTATTTGAGGGACAGGAAGAGGGGAAGAGACCTGTGGGATACAGCACAGAAGGTTTGGGAAGATCCAGAATGAAGCAGTACACTGAGGGACCAGGTCACATTGGAAATATGTGGGGAGGGGGCACTTGAGGAGATGCTCTAGAGGCCGGAGGAAGTGAACCTGGGGTACCTAACGCCAGACACTTGCGTTGAGCAGGAGGAAGAGAATGGGCCTTGCCTCCGTTGAGACCCTGGGCTGCACTCATTAAATCTGTTTCCAGTTAGGTCAAACAAGCAAGACTGTAATGGAACGGTCTCCAGAGGCTCCTGGCAGCCATATGAAAGTCAAGGGCCAGACCTGGCAAATGACCTGAGACTCCGGTAGACTGGTCACCAGAGAGTGTGACAGGTTGTAACATGCCTCTAGACAACCTAGAAGGACTCTGCGTGAGAATACAGTGCACTCCAGGATAGAGCACTCTGGGAGGAAGTGTCCTATGGCGCACCAGTCTGGTTAGCTGTCTGCATCCTAGAAACACTTGGGAGGTATCCACTGGGACGCTTCATCTCCTCCCCTGGAAGATCAGAGACGGCTGAAGACCCTAGGACCCTGGTTCTGAACCTGCAGGTCACGACCCCTTTAAGGGTTGAGTGACCCTTTCATAGGAGTCGAGTATTAGGTATTTGCATTATGATTCACAGCAGTAGCAAAAACAGTTTTATGGTTAGGAGTCACCACAATATGGGGAACCATATTAAAGAGTCGAAGGACTAGGGAGGTTGAGAGTTCCGTTCTAGGATTCTCTTTCCATGAAGAAACAGGCTTTCTACTTCCTATTCCTTGTGACTGTCTTAGTCAAAGGACCAGAGGAGAAGTGGCACTGTGCCAGCCCAGGCCCAGGCTTTAGGGAAACTGGAAGCTTCTAAAATAAGTAATAATAAAATTAAAAAATAAAGAAGGGGGAAAAAAAAAGAGATTGCTATTTATAGTTCCCTGGGTTGACGTTCTTGGCAACCCTCCTGCCTCAGCTTCCTGAGGGCTGGGATTTTAGTAGCACACAGTGACTGGTGTGTGTGTGTGTATGTGTGTATGTTGGGTGGGGTGGGGGTCATGAAGAGGAGAAGACAGCCCTGAGGATCGAACCCAGGGCCTTGGGCATGCACTCTAACCATTGAGCTACACTGCAGTCCAGGGCTGACAGGTTTGAATAATTCCACTGAAGTCTGGTTTCCAGGAGTTAGCTCCATCGCCTAGTGCCTGGGCACAGAAGACTTGTATTAAGGCTCCTGAACTGCAGGAGGAGGTAGGAGGTTTAAGACTGTCTGGATGAGCTTGCTTGTTTATTCACAGGGTGCTCGAAGGCCAGTTGTTCTCTCTGGGAGCCGGCTCATCCTGGGAGGGGCTGTCCCAGTCTAGGCCTAGAAGCTTAGATGTGGAAGCATCATACAACAGAACTATAAAAGGCATGGTTAGCACATCCAGAAATGTAAGTGAAACCTCCTTGTGACTACTCAGTGTGTCGGAGCAGTGTCTCCGAGCTGGCCCTGTGCCTTCTATCCAAATTCCTCACCCACAAACTAGTGAGATACCAGGATAAGAAATGCTGTTATTATGAAACATACCTGGCTTTGCGCATTGTTTGGCTTTTGCACCACGTTAGTTACTCTAGCTGGATTTGAACTCCTAGGACCAAGGCATCCATCCTTCTTGTACCAGCTTGCCCAGTGCTGAGATTTCTAGGCAAGCGCCATCACGTGGTTTTTAGTTTTGAGGGCGCTTTTCACAACTTGAACATTAGCAATTCCTTCCTAACTTCAGAAGGGCCTGGCAAAGACATGATTCCTCTCACCACAGAGTAAAGCTAAAACACACACACACACCCCACACACCCCATACACGCACCCCAGCTTTTACTGGACGAGGCAGGGTCTGATGTAGCCCAGGCTGGCTTTGAATTCTGTGTGTAAGCAAGGATTACCTTGAACTCCTGATCTTCCTGCCTCCACTTCCCAAGTGCTGGGATAGTAGATGTGTGTGGGATGCATGCGGGAGCACATGATAACACACACGTGGAGGTCAGGTCAGAAACCATTTACAATAAGTCAGTTCTCTGTGGGGTAGAGTCGGGGGACTGGGTGGAGGATAGGGAAGTGGTGGAGGTGGGCGTGGCACATGCTTTTAATTCCAGCACTTGGGAAGCAGAGGCAGGCCGATCTTTTGTGAGCACCAGGTCATCTGGCGGGCGTGAAGGCAGGTGATGTCTGCCACAGCCACCAATAGCTTTTTAAGGATCAAGAAACTCAAGTTCGTGGAGAGTTATTAACTCAAGGTCACACGGTTCAAGTCTAAGTCTGCCAGATTCCAGCCACCTGCCCAGTCTGTTACCTAACTGGCCTCCACTTGTCGCCCAGGACTGTTACTGGGAGAACCTTCTGGATGATCTCTAAGCCAGGAACCTTGGTCAGGCTCTGGAAGCGGGCAGCCTCCACCTCCCCATCTTATTAGTGCTCCCGAGTGTTTTCCTACTAGATAAATTCCGCGTGGTCCATCCGCAGGAGCGGGAGGGACCCGTTGTTTCCAGGCCACAGGCCTTCCTGCGCCATCCTCCCGAGTCTTTCCGCCCCCGCAGCCCCTTCAGGTGTATCAAAGTCGCAGCGCAGCGGGAAGTTCAGCTTCGCCTATGTCTCAGCAGGCTTTGTGAATATATTAGTTTTATTTTCCTCTAACACGCTACGGAGGTGGAGCTGGGGGGCGGGGGGGAGGGCGGTGCTGGAACTCAGTATGCAAATGTATGCAGATATCTAAATGAGGCTGCCTAAGGATTCAGGAGTCTGAGCGGCTCGGAGCTGGCCCGGCCTGCCGCAGCCCCGGGACTCTGCGGCACCGCAGTGGGGAGGGTGTCTCGTGCTCTTTCGAGTCTGTGCTTTGAAGCAATGTCTCCGCAGCTCAGGGGAGGAAGCGCTGCGGAAATTGGTTCTGGATACTTCCCGGCGGTGTTCTCAATTGCTTCAGCTCTGTTGGGGGTGCAGTGGGGAGAGGGCGGGGAGTCTCTGAACACCTCTGGGTTTCCTCAGCCGGGAGAGGGGGGGGGCTGTTCCTGTTGTCATTTCTTCATCCAGGGATCTTGGTAACAACCATTTCCGGACCCCACTGTTTACTGAATCAGAATCTCTATTTTTG